TGTTCAAGATCCAATTATTCATGTAATATATTGAATACATTTTTATTTGACTATTTATTTTAATATATAATAATAATATTTTTGTTAGCATATTTATTATCTTATTATTTAATTTATATGATAAAATCATTGATTAAATTTAGAGACTCTACATAAAGATGAAGATTTTGATAATGAGAGTAAAGTTTAATATAAAATATTTTTAATCGTTGAATAATCAAAATAGGATATTAATGATCTGCTAAGACTAATATATATGTGATAGTCTTTATAAAATAAAAATTAGTTAATCTCATTAACTAAATTACATATATAGATGATGTCTATGGAGGTGTAATCATTGAACCGATCCAATTGAGAATTCTTAATAGTTAATATTATTTTAAACTGTCAATAAAATATTCTCTTAAAATAATGAGATATAAGAATTTTATTTGACCTAAGATCATCATTGTAATTAACAAGTCATTTATCATACTTTGATTTTAAATACCTATAGTTATAAAACTATAGTTGAAAGAAAATTGAGTATTATTAAATACTTGTAGAATTAGTGATTGATCAAAACGAAATCTGTTAACTTTAGTAATAATTTTAAGCTGTATGTTGTTATTTATTATAATGATTATATTAAGATCTTGATTAGAGCAATTGAATAAAAAAAGAAAAGAGTTTCTTATATTATTTATTAATCAATTATAGTTTCCTATTGAGATTTGACAATTAAACTATATTTTAAAGTTAACCCGAATCAATAATGATTGAAGAAAATATTACATCATTTTTAACAGATTCTTAAAAATAATTATACACTTTATATTATTCGGTCATTAAGAAGTATTGTTAGATGTCAACTTCGATTAATAAATTAGTTTGACCAATTTGCTACTGGTTTAGTATTGAACCTAGGAGGTTGTACACTAGCAAGTATTTTGACTTTTACTAAATTAATTAATTATTTTAATTATTTGATAATTAAATTAGAAAATTTAATTTAATTAAATAAATAAAATTTTAATTTAAATATAATATTATTATATTTTGTGTTAGCATAGATGATATAATTAATATTGGAGACAAATTAAATTTTTATATTTTAAAAATAAAAATTAATATTTATATCTCTTGATTATTATATTATTAGTATAATAATATAATATTTGTGGCTATTATAATAATAAAAATTATTATAAAATCTAATTTAAAATTAAATTAGTTTGTAAAATTATTTTATTAAATAATAATAATAAAAAACAGCATATATATGAGAGATATATATATATATATATAATTGGGTGTTGAAAAAAAAAAAGGAGTTCCACTTGGTTTGGACGTGTACACGGAGTTTGACTTGACAATTATATATATTATATATATATATATATATCTATATACATGTAATTGGGTGCTTAAAAAAAGGTAAGTCTAACTTAGTTTAGACTTGTACAGGAAGAAGTCTCAATAGAAATTAATAACTACCCATACCACCTATATATATGTGATATATATATATGAGTGGGGATGACAAAAACACCTAAAGAGGAAAACAGAAAAACCTTGCAGCCGCGCGCACGCCAAAAGAAAAAGAAAAAAAATGAGTGCATTTTTTATTTTTAATTATGTTAAAATTTTGTGAAAAAATTTCAAAACAAATATATTATTCAATTTATTTGCTCGATTAAAGAATTGATTAATACATGTCAATTTTAGTGTGAATATACATAAAGTATTTAAATTTTTAAATAATTTTAATTTAAAAATTTATTGTCGAATATATTTTAAATTTAATATTTAATATGTAATATAATTTTTAAAATATAAATAAATTATTTTAAATTATTTTATATTTTATGCTGCGTGAACATATTATAATTATTCATCCATATTATAATATATCTTAACCTTATCAAGAATTTTAAAAAGTTAGAAATAGTTATTAAATTGATATAAGAGAGACACAAAGATTTAGTATTAATGATCTATTTAATAACTCTTGTAGAGTAAAATATTGAAGAGATTTTGATATAAAATAGATAATATGACATTTTGCATTTGAGATATATACTTGATTAATTATAATTTTTGTTATTTAGAATGTATGAATTTTATAAGTCCTGTAGAGTAAAATATTGAAGAGATTTTGATATAAAATAGATAATATGACAATTTGCATTTGAGATATATACTTGATTAATTATAATTTTTGTTATTTAGAATGTATGAATTTTATAAGTCATAAGGTTATGTATTTAGGCTATATGGATTTGATTAATCATGAACTTATGTATCTAGAATGTGTGAATTTGATTAATCATGACATTTGTTGTTTAAGATACATGAATTTAATTAATCATGAGATTATGAATTTCGATTATATATGATGTATTCGAGATAGATGAATTTGATCAATTAATCATGATGATAGTAAGGATTTGATTAATCAAAATATTAGTTTTTTATGGCATTTTGGATATCTATATATCTTTTTTAGTATTTTGATATCGATTGCATTTTTGTACATTTTCTTATTAAGGACATTTTTGTAAAAAGAAAACATATTTTTCTCTTATCTTCCCACAAGAACTAAATATTTTTATTTACTTTGTCTCCATTTACTTTTTTTTTTATGTTTTCTTAAGAAAATCAAATTCTTTCTCTTTTTAGAATACCATAATTTACTTTCCTACTTAAATCTTTAATTTTTGGAATTAAATGGACAGTTCAAACTGTAAAAAGTATAAAATTACTGTGTAATTAATTAATTGTATATAAAGTGTTTTGGTTAGTTTTTATACTCAGGCCGCCTTGCATTGCCAAAGATAGTAAACGACATAGAACTTTGTCGTTTTGGTTCTGGGCTTTTTTCAAACTGAGAAAAATAAAGGCAAGAAAGATGATGCAGCAAATGAAGTATCCACCTAAAGATGAGCTCAATGGTGTAATGTTTCTCCTGAAGGATTGACGTGTAAGTCAAAGTTGTACAGATCAGATGGCTGAGCTCTCCCTTCACCATCTCCCCATCAAATCCCAAACATTTTCTTCTGCTCTTTGATGGGGAAGGGGGCGCCAAAATCTCCCTTTCGTAAAAAAACATCGGTTTAAAACCCTTGAAAAACAACATAGAAACATTAGTCAATCGAATCCCGCAATCTCTCTCTCTCTCTCTCTCACTCTCTCTCTATCTCTATCTGTGTAGCGAGCGCTTGGGGACAGTGGCGATTTAGACATGAATTCAGAGCAAAGCATGGAGCACCAGAACACAGTAAAAGAAGCCCTAAACGCACTGTATCATCACCCGGACGATGCCGTACGTATGCAAGCTGATCGATGGTTGCAGAATTTCCAACGGACCCTCGATGCTTGGCAGGTACTCTTCACTTTAGCCCTTCTTGCTCCATTTTATTGAAACTTATGTCGACTCGATTGTTGGGAAGAATACTCTGGATTTTTGTTATTGAGTGCCGCCATTTGGATTATTACCCTGGTTTGATGTTTTGCCCCTCACTCTTGGGCTGTTGTAAACAGCTAGTTATATGGACGAGCGTTAGGGCTTAGTCTTGGATTGTCTATGTACTGGAAAGTGAAGGAGAATAGTTTCTTTATACTGTTTTAGTGGGTTAATTATCTTATTAGTAAGAAACAGTTTTCTTAGTTAATTGTGAACATCCTACGAGATTGGGAAGCAGCTCCTCTAAGAGGCTTTTTTTTCCCAATATATATACATTTATATATCTTGTCATGTGTTTTATGTTCTTTCCCTGAGAAAGTTATGTTTCTCATTCAGGTTGCCGATAATTTACTCCATGATGCGACAAGCAATCTAGAAACTTTGATATTTTGTTCCCAGACACTTAGAAGCAAGGTACTTAGTTACTTTATTATCAGCCAATATAATTACCCACATATTAGTTTTGTCTATGGTGAAAAAGCAACAAACTGGTATATTGTTTGGATTTTGGACTCAACTGTAATCTTGTTTTACTTTGTGTCTGCATGCTATCAATAGGTGCAACGAGATTTTGAAGAACTGCCACCTGGAGCTTTCCACAAGTTACGAGATTCTTTAAATGTGAGTGATTGTCTATATTTACTTTTAACTATCAAAGAATGTCCAGAGGAGTCCATTTTGGAAAATTCTGTATGAAAAATAATGTGTTCTTCTTTAATCATGGATTAATATTGGGTAGGTTCATTTTCATTGTAAATGCTAGGGCTTCCGGAGTTTCCAAAAATATGAAAGTTTTTGGTATAAGCTTGTAATCTAATCCAGTTACTAAGGAATACGAGGTTTATAAGTAAATGGTATACTTGTTGGAATCAATATATGGTTCTCATTTAGTCATATCTATATCACATAGTGATTGCAAAGGCACTGAGCCCATGAGATAATTGCTCATTAATTATGAGTCTTGGGACTTGAATAATGTTTGTTGTTAAAATGTCAATTGCTGGTTTGGCAAATAAGACCTTTTGGACATCCTTTATAATTGTCTTCTCATCTGAATATCATATCAGCTGTCTTGTTCCTGCCTTTCATAAATAAGACACGGCTTATTTTAACTATACCTTTGACATCTAAACTGGATTCTTGAGGATGCTTATGGTTATAATCATATTGTCCCAAATTGATGTTTTAGGATCATTCTAATGGTTTGTATAGGTTAAGAGGGTTGTGAACTTGAGAATAGCTTGTTTTTAAGTTGTTTTGGCATAGATTTCTTTGTATCTTAGTGTTTCATTGGTGGGCTCTGGCCACTTTGAACTTTGAGGAAGGAAGAATCTATTTGTATTGTTCTCTATCACCCATAATAATCTACCATATGTTTTAAGATGTTGCCAGCTGTAGGAACAAGAGGATTTCTTTCTTGATTTTTGGGTAATAAAGAGGGTGTGTTGCATTTTGCACATCATCCAATGAACCCCTATAGGGTTAATGAGAGTAACGTAAGGATAACCCGAAAAAGACAAAGAAACATGATCATAAGCTTGTTCCAAGTCAAACTAACACATAATCCTTTCTTCCCCTACTACAGAATAGGGTCAACGACCTCATTTGGAGTCAAGGCAGCATCCAGACTTTGAGAAGCTTTTAGAGAAACATCTTGGTTTTACTCACAGCTTCTTTGATCACTCTACTTGGTCTTAGTCCAGAACTTTGGCAATTGTAGACACTCCTAATTAGACTGATTGGCTTGTAATCCTTGATATTCATTGCTTGTAATCCTTAATGTTCATTGCATTCTCCACTTTAGAAGGAGGGTTAAGTAAGATTTAAGGAATCAAATTTGCCTCTATCATAGAACACTTTAAAAGTCTTTAGGATATTTCACCAATTACTCTCCAACTATTTTGTAAGGGCTTTTTTCCCATTGCATAACCTCGAAACAACCAGAATCTCCTCATGTCAAAACTCTAACCAAATTGTATCTTGATTATCATTAATTTTGAAGCTAATACTATCTAATTCTCGCCTCTAGACTTCAACTTTCATACAAAGCCTGCCATATAAACCTTTTTCACTGCCTTTTTCAAGCCATTATTCACCTTAAAGTTGCTCCTTTTATCATGATCTTGAACATAAAGTCCTTATATTGGCCATCTAATAAAAGAACTTGGTATTGCAATCTCCTTTTCTAATCTGCAACAACCTTGATCTCTGTCTCCAGCCCACCTCTATCAACATCTTATTAGCAAGCTCTAATTTGGGCAACTGTTTCCTCTGTACTCTCCTGAGTTGAAAATTCCATCTCATCTCCTTTCTCATCTAGAGAATCAATCTCCCTTTCAAGTCTTTTTTTTTATTGTTGCCCCATTACTCGGAAAGTTGGAGCTCTAGGCTTTTATCTTAGGCTTGAAATAAGAGATTTTTTATCCACTCTGAAGCTTAAATAACCCTCATAATTCTCCTCCTTGCACCAGATTCTACCCATCTATCATGGTCGTGGATTCTTAGTCACTCATTCTGAAATCTAAAGTTTTGAACAAGATCTGACCCATTTAGTGCACTTTTAAGTCTATACATAAGGTGTGGAGACAGGAATTGACCCTTAATAACAATTTTGGATCACGACGAGCATCAATTCTTCAAGTTTCATTTGCACTAAAGACCAACCAACACTAGAAAGACCAACCTCTTCTCTCATATTAGATTGGGTCCATTAGTCCCCATGAGATGGTTAATCAGTAACATTGGCAATATCAAATACCTCTCTAAAATTCACTACTACTAGCCATTAAGTAGCCCCTAGTAGTACTTTCATGCGGATACAAAACCATGTTAAAGTCTCCTCTAGCAATCCGTGGTAAGTTACTCGACTATATCTTGATTGCCTCTTGGTCATTGCACAACCAATTCCCTCTTTATATCTTCCCCCTTATGATATAGCCACGCATAATGAAAGAAATTACTTCATATGTGTTTGATCTTCCAAATAATTGACATTGACCCTCTATAATGCTCACAAACTCCAAATTATTATTATTTGAAATGATCACATTGTCCTAGGAAGCTCCTACACTTGGCAAATCATGCTACCCCATCTTTTGAAGCCTTATGCTTCTTACTTGCTGTTTGCTCAAGATTTCTATTTTGAACTCATGTAGACAAATTTGGTCGTCACCATATTCCTTTTAAAACACGTTAATAACTGCTGTCTTCTATCATTCAAATCTATCACATTTTGAGAAAGATAATCTTATTAATCATTAGAAAATGATAAAATTAAAGCTTTGTTCTCTCCTTTCTCCCATAACTCCCTTCTTTTGGCCTTCGGTACATAATTCACTCCCACTCTAATTTCTTCCATTCTCTATCTCTCTTTCTTTTCCCCCTCTTGCTTATATGACTACGAGTCTCATCCACCGAGGACCATTTTTTCCTTTTAGCCTCAATGGCATTGAATTGTTCATAAGCTTGTTTCCGAGACCACTGTACCCTGAAGTTAAAGACTTTATGGAGTTTGATGATATTACCTTTTAGCCATGCTAACATCTCTTTTTTTTTTGTCCTCTCTCTTTCCCTAACTCCATTTTCTCACAGCTGTAATCCCACATGGCCATTATCTTCAAAGAGATCTGTATTTACATATCTTTCACCCCATCTTACCCAGGAAGAATGGAAGAATGGAGGATGGAGAGGGAAATATACCTATGCAGATGGCAGGCACTTAGTGTCTGACCCAGCATCATTGTTCCTTTTTGGGCATTGCTGAGTAGGCTTATGCAAACTAAAGTGTTGATGAAGAGGAGATCCTTAATGTGTCAAAGTTCTGGTGCTGCTCTCTCTAAGAGAGATACCATATGCTCTACTGGACTTGGGCATTGCCTGATCATTTTTGGATTTTAAAATCCTTTTCTGGGTTTTTGACTACCCATTATTCTTCTCCATGGGCTGTAAATTTGATTTTGGATGTATTGGCCTAAGTGAGAATCTCCTTGTGCCCAACTTCCTTCTTAAGGAAAACCCATTCTCATTGCTGATTCAGTCTTTTACAAGACAAAGTCATAGAACTAACTAGCCACGATTGTATCTTTTCAATTTTGAAACATGATGCGAGCATGAGCTTCTTCTTTGAGTGATAGAGAGCTGGTGGATGAATACATGCTTTTCATGTTGGAAAAAGGACAGAGTAGCTCCCGCTTCTGTTTGGCCTTCTTCGTCAAGGGAGTTGGGTGGTTGGGGCTGCCTCAGCTTCATCCTCCAACTAGCTAGGTTCAATTAGGGCCTTCCTTTGTGCCCAAGCTAGGTCTAAATTGCACGCTTGCCCAGTTTCTCTTTCTGCAGGGATCAACAGTCTTCTTGTGCCATTTGCATTCTCCTCCAACTCCAGAAACATCCTCCTATGTTTCAGCCCTGTTTGCACTTTTATGGACTTTGAAGGATAGCCTCTCATCCAAAGAGGTTCATGTAATTATCTGAAAATCCATATAATTTCTAGGCTAAATAGACTAAAAACCAAAATGTTTTTTTGCCTTATTCTTAGTGATCTGTAGAGTATCCTCGATTTCTCCCTCGAAAACCACATCAAAGGGTTTCATTTCTACTCCTAAGAATCTTGATGATAGAAATGACGTTTTTAAGGTTTAACAAATGATCAAGACATAATCCCAAGCTCGAGATCATGTTTTCGCTCTAGAATGTACTCTCTCTAAGTTTGTTCTTGTGGTAACCTATTGTTTATATTCTAATAGTAATCCCATTATGTTGCAAAGTCTATAAGCTAATATTTTCAAGAGAATTGAATAAGTGCAATTTATTATTTGGTTTTTTTTTTTTTTTTTGTAATAAAACAATCTCTTATATAGTTGAGAGGGAATTTATTTCACTCAAATTGGATTGGAGGTAGTTTTTTAAGGTGTACTTGCAAAGAACATATCATATTTGCTTTTTTCATTTTAGATGGAATATATGTGCTCTTGTAGTTTGTAACTGAAGTTCTATAGGAGAAAATTAGCTTCTGGATGCACTATGCATATTGGAACTTGGACATGAGGGTGTGATTTACATGCATGGATGCACACATAACCTGCGGTTTGTATGTGGCTCAAAATAATTCTTTTGTTTGTTTAGGAGTTTGATTGCGTTCATTTTTAATGCAGGCATTATTGAAAAAATTTCATAGAGGGCCCCCAAAAGTGAGGACTCAGGTATTAGTTTAAAGTTCTTTAAAAAATATACATTACCAATTCAACTTTTTGATAATAAGAATAATAGCGTGGTCTATTATTTGGCTTTATGACCTTTTGTTGCCTATTAGATTAGCATTGCAGTTGCTGCATTGGCTGTACATGTTCCTGCAGAAGACTGGGGAGATGGTGGTATAGTGAGTTGGCTAAGCAATGAAATGAATTCTCATGGAGAATACATACCAGGATTTTTGGAGCTGCTTACAGTTTTGCCTGAGGTAAGTGTTAGTAGCATGTGTTGGAGAGAGATTTTTAATTGCTTTAATACTGGTTAAACTAGCTTATAGGCCATTGACTTACCAGTAAAAAAAAAAAATTAAGCTCCAACTTGGAGCTTTTTCTTTGTCAATCATCTTTTTGCCTGTAAGCTCATTGGCTTGTATGCTAAAGTGGTGAACCAAGAACTACCTTCACTTGATTTTTTCTCGCTTTCCTGAATATTTTGCAACATGGAATGGTAAAGTTAACATGTTTCTATCTCTTTCCCTTAAGTGCACAAACTACAGGATAAAGGTGGATGCTTTTTTGAGATGCCGTGGTGTATAAGTCACTTATTAGAAGGCTTTTTCCGGGATGTTTGTTGAAGCATCTTG